CAACACACAAGGGGAAAGAGCTTCAGCCAAAACATGGTGAAAAGTTATAGGAAACAGGATTATGAGCAAAGCAGAGATAGACAAATAATATAGAAGCTACATTGAACATCCACTCAACAATATTTACCATAATATTACATAATTCACATATTTATCAAGTGCCCCTCCTTCTAGAATTGAGTGTTTCAGCACTTTTTTTGGTATAAATTCTTTCCCCAATACTATATTTAGCAATGTGTAAAACGTGACTCTGTATTTTTTTTTTCCTTCTAAAGAAATACAGTAGATTTCCCTGTTTGCTTTTAATTTTTAAACTGGGTCATTCCTTTATCATCAGTCCCAGTCTGATGCTGGGGCAGCAGACTCTTAGCAGCTTGATGACTTCCCATCTCCACGTGAACTCACGTTGGATCAGCTTTGCACTTCCCCATGAGACCGCTCTCTGGTCTATAGATGGCCACCTCTCCTCATCACTTAGCTAGACTCTGGTTTTGCCTGGTAAAAGCTGTTCCATAAAGGAGCTGGGCCCAGGCATATAGAGATGGAGGAGTATCTAAGCACATGGTGACTAAAAGAGTGATAGTCCTATGGTGTTGATTATGTTAAAAAAAATAGATCCAAATGTTGTAGAGTTGGGGTTTCATCATGCTCCACTAACCTGGAGAGTGACCATTTCCCCAATCCTATTCCCTGATGCAGATATCATGGAATGGGGCTGCTTTTTTTGAGGAGGCTGCCTCTCTTGGATCAGTGCTAGCTGGTTTGGGGGAAAGACTGGGAAGTTAGTTTTACCAAGCAAACTCCCATTCAGCCTTCAAGCCTCAATTCAAAGAGTTCTTCCTCTGATCATTCATAATTTCATATACACATTTCTAATTTAACCCTAACACTATTGCATTATAATTTATGTATCTGTCTCTTTTATTATACCTTGAGCTTTTCGAAGATGGGGCTGCGCTACTCACCACTGCAAATGTAACCCTACCCGAATGCCTACTACCTGGCACAAAGGAGGGACTTAAAAATATGTTCGTTGTATGAAAGCAAAAGCATATGAATGAATGGGTAAAGTGGGAGTATAAATGAACCTAAAGATAAAGGCCAGGTGGTTTTTATTTTTCTGTCATGTCTCCTGTCCTACTTATATTGTAACTTCATAGTATGGCAAAAAAAATCGCAGAATGGCTGAATTCAATTTGGCAAGTTTGCCTTAAGTCCTGGATCTCCTATGGAAATTCAAGGAGTAACTGTGAGTCCTCTGCCTTTTGATATTCAATTATGTATAAGATTTAATATTCACTAGGACACTGGAAGAAAACGTAAGTCATTGTCTTTCCTTTGCATTTGCATTTCTCTCATTTTCCTTGCACTGACCATTTGCTTGATTCTGTAAACACTGTGAAGGCCTAACCCTTAAGAACGGAAAACAATGAAAGCACCCTCTAAGAGTTAGCCAAAGAAGGTAGAACAAAGACAGTATAAGTTTTGATGTGCTAGCATGCTAGTATATTAGCCTAAATGTGTAGCTTATAGAGCTTTTAAATATCCAGAAGTGGAAAAATTCACCTTCTTCTAGGGGTCAAAGATAGAAAGATGTTGCTGCTAGAATACTAATGGTTTTCAATACCCTGCTCTTTTGGTTGTGTGAATTCCTTGTTTATTTACACTGATTTTAGCCCATTATCATGTATTAGTGCAATTATGGCTCATTACATAATTAGTGTAAATATTTGTAGGCATGCAATAACAACATGCAATTATGATATGGAATGATGTCATAAAAAGTCTTATTGAAAGAAAGAGTAAAAAAACAAAATAAGTAGCATTTATAGAAGAACAGTAGTTATATATCTTTAGGTATAGGCAATCTATTGTACTCTTTAACTTTCAAAAATAGATTCCAAAGATATTCTGAATCCATATATACAGACTCTCGGTCTGTTGAACACTGAAGTCTGAGGTGCTAGCAGCAGCAATCCGCCCAAATGAAAAGACGGTGAACCTCAAACAATGCTACAAATGTCTGAGATTATGGAAAAGGATGGACTCCCCAGGAATAGACACATTCTGTATCGATTAGGTATTTGGAAGCTGGGCAACTATTAGGAATAAAGCATGATTCATTAAAATGGGTGTCCGTGTAACTGACATGCAATCCTGCGAAGGGGCTCCTGAGCAAATAACCATTTTTTTGAAGTCACAGTCATATCTTCACTGTTTCACAAAGTACTGAATACAGTAAGCATTCATAAAACTTCATTGGGTGAATGAGTGAATGAATCTCATAATTTTTCTAGTCATATGGCTATCCCAAAAGAAATAAGGAGCTTCATTCTAACTTTACTTTATTGAGCACCATGTCAGGTGTTGATAAATCTTTGAAATTTTTAAAGAGTCATTCATATTGACTTCTCTGTAAAATTTCAGCACTGTTCCAGGCATAAGAAGCTTAAAAAACTTAGAGAGGCTAGAGCACATCAGATGAGGTTAAATACCATAGTCAGCCAACAAAGATTCATAAGACCTAACAGATACTAGGGAATTATTGGTAAGCACATTGAAAAAGAAGGAATCATATTAAATTAAAATTCAAAGTTAATTATTTCCCGTACATACCATTTTTTCTTGTAGAAAAATCTATTTATTAATTTTGGAATAAAAACAAGAAACTCTTTTAAAACGAAGTATCAGCTCCTCCCTCTGCCCCCCACCCCATCTCTGGTGATGAGGGTTGAATTGCTTTATCAAATGCAATTCTTGGAATAAGAATTATAATTTTCTGGTTTTTTTTTTAAACTAAACTATATCCTGATGTTACAGCTTCATAAATGTATTTTGATACCAACAATTTGAGGATTTTAATAAAACTACTTTGTTTTATATTCATTCTCTCTACACCTCCATGCAATACTGACTACTGAAATATATTTTTAGAGTCTTTCTGGGGAAGACCTGAAATTATTTTACTTTCTGCAGCTTCCTATAGAATATTTGGCCCACTCTGAGGGAGACCCAAAGGAATAATTAATATCTACAGAAGCATTCATTCATGGACATGGAAGGAGGGAAAAACACTGAATTGCATCATCATGTAAAATATTTAATATCCTGTTTCTTGTGGCCAGGATCCAGGGGCTTTGGGTTTTCCACTAGAATATTTTCTAGTCAGATGAATCAAATAATAGTATCTCAGGTCTTTTAGAAACCTTGAAAAGACTGACTGCTCTCCATAATCTTTTTTCTTAGGGTAATGGGTTTTAAAAACCTCTTTCAAAGAAACAACCTGGCAGTCACCTCGTGGGCATCCTGTAGTCTTTCTGGTGTCTTTGTATGGGGACTATAGGCAGCTCAACGTCCCCTTGGATTCATGAACTCCATTGGTCTCACTGGTAACACACTTTAACGGCAGGTTAATGGGATGATGAGTGGAGACATGATTTTGCCTTTATCAAAGATAAGTATTTATCCAGGGAAAATACAAGTTTAATTTGCTAGCAGCTTATCCATTCTAAGTCAACCACTTCAAGAGGCAGGTAAAACCAAGTAGATTGTTTGCTTAATGGGTGGATCAAGGCATTGGGCAAACAATTATACATGATACACGCCGATGAGGACAGTCTTTCTCTTTGGGATGTCATGTTCTATCATTCCGTAATGAAGTAATGACTTCTTGGCAAGCTGGCAGCTGAGGCCTACAACCCTCCTCGATGCTATGCCAAGCAAACACAAAGGTAATGCGTGGACACCATATCCTCCGGGTGGAGCATTTGCAGAACTTTTCATTCTCCCCCTTAAACATATATATGGGATCTATACCTAGGCCTTCCCAATTCCAACATACAACATTTCATTTTTATGTGTAATAGAAGAGTTCTACCATCCCAGGACAGGGTGGCTCTGAAGAGGAAAGAGCATTTAATGAAATAAAATGTTACCATTCGAATTTCAAACTTTCTGCCAATGGTAACTCAGTAACTGCTTTATATTGACTCTTCTGGTTAGAAGAGTCTGCACAAAAAAATAAAGCAAAACAAAACAAAAATCTTAAGGGAATTCCTGGCACCGTGTTTGACCAGAAGGGAATGCAAGAGTTTAAGAGTCATCCAAATCTGATCAACTTTTCACCCTGGGTTCTGTTTACAGACTCCTCAGCTCACATTGTTGGAATGAGACAAATATAGCCACTTTTGCTTTGATCTGAAGTCAGTTTGGCTTTCCAATCCTGGCACAATGGTGACATTTAAGAGGCAAGGGGATAAAATTATTTTCATTCCAACCTCTTAAACATGTGAAGACTTACAATACAACTCTAGCCAACTATGAAGTTAGACCTCAACGGGCGATTTCTTTTTTATAAAAAGTTCTTTTTCTTACAGTGCTGGCTATGCACAGAAGTATAAAGACTTCAGTGCCTCCATTCCCTTGGTTAATTTTATTTTAAGAAGATAAGGACGGATTTGAGAACAATGGGGGAGAAAGAATTGCCACAAGGTACAAGTCAGGCCAGGGTGAGATGGATCTTGTACACGAGCTTCTGTCCGTTTCCAAAAAAGATCACAGTAACTTTCAAAACAATTAGTCAGGCCTACAGAAAACAAAACAGACCCTTGTTTAGGTCTCTATTTACTCATCCCTCAACCGTAAGCTGTCTGAGTCACCCAGAGTCTTGCTGCCTCACCTGCGAGCCCCTCTCTTAATCTGATAGCTGAGGATAGTTACGAGCGCTAAGGGAATTGAGGGCAAGCTTATAAATTAATGATTGAAGAGTCCCACCCATCTCGGAACAAAAGGTCTCCTTCCTCCAGTACCAGCCCTTCTTTCCAGTTCTACCACTCTTAAAGGAGACTAAGGGGTAGGGGTGGGGGGCGGGGAGTGAGAGGGACGGGAGGGATGGGTGGCGTACAGGCAAAGCCCGCAGTTTGTGAGATTTGCCTAACAGACACATACCTGTAGACACAAGCTTGTGTGGACTATCACCACAAGTTCGGATCTACGGGTTTGTGGCAACAGGCCTCAAGATCTTCTCTCGTTTGGGGGTTTGAGATGTCTGAAAATAAAACGTTAAAGCCATTAGTCCAACCAAAGATTCTGCCATTCTAATATTTTATGCCCCAAATGGAAAGACTTCCTCCTGCTCTTAGAAGGGCAAAGGTTAAGCCGCAGCACCTGTGTTCTCCCCCACGTAAGTCCCTCTGTTTTCACTTCTTCCACAGATACACTAGGCTTTAGGTAAATCTCATCGGGTTACTGTTTAATATTACGGAAGGCTCATTTATTCAGACCTTAATACACGATCTGGCCAAAGTGGAATCAGATTGTGAGAGAGAGAGAGAGAGAGAGAAAGAGAGAGACATTGAGAAACACATGAAATCCCAAGTGCAAGTTCTTTCCTTTAAATGCCTGTAATTACATGAAAAAGGATGGTGAATTCTTCCCTTCTGTTTGCATTCTGGAAAACAGGTGGAATAAACTGGCAAGCACCACCAATAGGCTTATAAGTATTTTCTGAAAAGTCGTCTAGAGGAGATTTCTAGCTATATTAAATTAGAAGACTCATCTTCGGGACAAATTTGTGTTTTTGTTTCCACCCTACCCCCATTATTGGTCCCAAAACCAACACAGAACAAGTTTGGGCATATATTATAAAATGTGAGCTGGAAAAGAAATTGTGTAATTGTTCCCCCCAAAACTGTTCAAGGATGTGAAAATGGATCTGTTTCTGAGGACTTCTAAAATGATTTCATTTGTCAATATAGCATTCTTTCTTCCAAGTCAATGTTCTACACGTAAAAATGAGACATCCAAGACAATGAAGCTTCATTAACCTCCTTTTGTGAATTTTCCTAGAGACATAGTTTGAATCATAAGCACTTCTAGGGACACATGATGAAAAGCAAAATAATCCCTCCCTAGATATTGGGAAAAACATATGTCTCCATCCTTCACATGACCTAAAAAGAAACTTTTTAATTTTTGTTAGCAATGTCTAAAGATTCTGGCTCTCAAAAAAATTCTCTTCCTTGGCCTCGACATATGAGCATGAGCCTTTCTCAAGATTAGGAGGCTCTACTAATAACAAAAGAGACAAAGCTGAATTTGGGGATTATTTAGAGAAAAGAACAGGCCCTTATGCACACAACCTGAAAGGTGAAAGCAAGAGAACACAAAACCAGCCAACGGAAAGGACCAACAGGGATTGAGAGGTGACCCTTCACAGATTCTTCATCGTCTGCCTAGTTCATTAGGACTGAGCCGTGGGTAGGATTCCTGGCAGCCTACTTGTGCCGTGAAGGTTCCCCAAACTGAGAATTTAGGGGCATCTCTGTGGCTTGACTTTCAGATCCAAAGCAACAACCGTAGCTAGTGAAAATAAGTAGGATCCAAACCAATCACCTCGAAGTGGTCTTGGCTTTATTTTAAAATGCTCATTTCCCTTCTAAAATGAAAGATTTTAAAATGAACCCCAAGCCTCTTCTTTCCCTTTGATCTTTCTGACAAAGGCACGGGTCCAGAAGCATTTGAGGATGGGCACTCTGCATGCTGTTAAGTGTTGCTGGAGCACGTGTGAGGAAGAACTCTCATTCAAGTGGAAAGGAACCAGCCCAGGCTTCCAAAGTGATGAGGGCTAACTATTATTATCGGGTTTATTGAAAAGATGGAATGCAGTATTTGTTTGCAATGAACAAAAGATCTGTTAAAGTGTTACACTTGGTCATTCAATTAGAACAATCTTCATACATTCGCACCCTCGGACCCCCAAAAAAGGAGTGCGATGCTATGTTTTAATTGGGGGCATCTCTCGCGCTCCCTCTCTCTCTCTTTTTTTTTTTTTTGGTAAATATAGGACAGAGAGAAGCTATTCATTCCAAATGGTCTGTAGTGTTAGCTTCCAAACAATCCAAGGTTTTAATTTCAGAAAATAAAAGAAAAATCAGAAGATGTCTAGATTGCAGGGGAAAAAATAAGTCAAATCCTGACCTCACAGGAGAATGGTGTGTTTGGGAGAAGATATTTTCTCCAAAATATTAATTGACTACTTCCTTCAAGAACCTTCTCTGTGTTAAGGAGGAAAAGAAAGGTTCTTTTCAGAGGAAATTTTGGCTTGCTTTATGAAGCAAGATTCTGTGGGGCTCTGTGAGATAGTAATACTCATAATTAAGATGGGAAATAGAGGCTGAATGCTTATGAACAATGGCAAAGCAGAGTAAGGTAATTTATCAAGCAAATATATCATTTATGTTATTAAACATTCTTAAGTGACATGAAGTCCTTCAATACCACTAAAAGGAAACTACCTGTATCACGATAGCTGAGCTCAAATCTTAGCCACTGGACAGGTATGGGGATAGCTGCATTAAACACCATACTGTATTACCAATCTAGGACTAAAGTTAAAATGTCAATATTGTTATTATGCAATTTATACAAGCCCTATCTTCCAGGAATTCAGAGCACGGTAGGCTTTTTAGAGACAATCATCTAATATTTACATTTTTAAATTCAATTACCCAAGATAGCCACAGAGTTTAAGGACAGTGCCTGATGGTTTCAAATGAGTTAAGTCATTGTCAAAAGAAGTAAGCACCGCTAAGTAATAACTTTAAATTTTTTTTCTGAATTCCATAGAATTGAATGCCATGACTGCTCTACTCATTTGCTATGAATCTTATAAAGCTATTTGCCAGTTAAAAAAAAATCAAGTTTACAATGCAGTTATTCTTCAGAACTAAAGCATTCAGGCACGCTCTAAAAATTTGCAGTACTTGAGGAAATGGAAGGTTTGGGAAAGTTATAGGAAAACACTATTACCTGAAAAAAGTAACTTCTTAGGAATCCTATTTTTTAAGCTCGTTGCCATCTTGCTAGGCCAATATCTTCAAACCATTAGCCCGTGTCTGGAAAATAAAATTATTTTAAGTGGATCAAGACCCTTTGTTTGTTTTTTGGTTGGTTTCTTTTTGCCACCCAATTCTTGATTAAAGCTAAATTAGAATTAACGCCGGAATGAGAGTAAAAAGGGAACACCAAACACTGAAATAAAAATAATTCTAGGAAATCACTGGGCAACATTATGTTTACTTCATTTCCCAAACTACACATGTTATAAAGGTCCTGCAAATAAGTCACTTTCACATTTTTCCTGGAATTTCCCTGGCTATCGACAAACCCTGAGAACGATTTTACCAGAAAAATGATCAAATAGGAATGTGAGGTCTCAAAATACTCGCAAATTCCAATGTTTTATACCAAACCGCTCATTTGCTAAACATGATTAAGAGACAGACTATCAATAATTAAGAATGGTTAAGGTATAATCAAGTTGGGCAATCATTACCTGGCATGATGTAGCATCACTGAAACATCGTTTTAACTTTTTGATTCTGAAATGTTTCGGGAGTCATTATTTCTCTCTGCTGATGGGGCTGTTAAAAAGAAGTAAAATATCTTATTGTGGAGAATTCATGAATCTATCCCCCTTCCACCACAGCAGGATTCTTGGCTTCCATTCCAACGTTCTTTCATTGGCCATGTTTTAGACGCAGGGTTTGCTTTTCCTTCATTGTTCATTGGAAGGCAAACTCACTGTGCAGCTGCTTGCAAAAGGGAAAATGTATTTGAGTTTTGCCTGGCTGTGGGCTTGAACACCAAATCCATGGTGATGTCAGCAGAACGACACCAACAGAAAGATTTCCTGCCCTCCACCCTCCTTCTTTTTTAAAGATGTACGTCTTGTACCGAATCTCAGCAGACCTCCTTTGTCCTGAGGGGATAGAGCAATTCAAGTGAACTTTTTAAAAAGGAAGGCAAGAGCGAAGTGAAAGAAAGAGGGAGAGAGAGAAGTGAAAGAGAGAGAGAAGTGAAAGAGAGAGAGAGAAAATTAGGAAGAAAGGAAAGAAAAAAGAAAAGGAGGCAGAAAAAAGAGAAAGAAAAAGAAAAAGAGAAACAGAGAGAAAAAGAGAGGGAGGCAGGGAGAGAGGATGAAGAAAGGAAAGGAAAAACAAAAAGAACACCAACCAAAAAAAGAGTCAAATCTACCCTTTGGCATTCATCATGAAGGAGGGGAGACAGCTAGTCTTTGGTCTCCCTATGGCTTTTCTGTTTTCCTGATGTCTTTTCTCTCACCCTCTGCGGCCCTTGCTTTTTGTAGGAAGATCCAATCACCTCAACAAAAGAGGCACATCCAGCAATCGCTGCTCCAGGAGACATTCACTGGTGCCATGAGCCACACCGCGCACCATCCACCTGCGATCTGCCACCGGGACACCAGACCCCAGTGTGGGAACGCCTCTCAGGCGTGCACTGCAGAGCCTCCGGCACCAAAGCCAGCTAGCTTAGGTAGAATTAATTCTTCCCTGCCCAGGAAAAACTGACCAGAAGGGAGCGGGAGGGAGGAGACTGGCCAGGCAACGCCATCGTTTTCGTGCTCCTTTTGGCCGAAGGGAAAATTAGAATTGATATCGATAAGCTTCCTATCACACCCACCACCAACCCCCCCCACGTTAAAAAACATTAATATTTTACATAAAGTGAAAAACGAAGGTGTGGCTAGGTCAACTAAAGACAAAGACGTGAAAATAGTATGACAGAATGAGACAGGGTGGACAAAAGCAAAAGATGCCCTCAGATTGCTTTTAAATAACAAAAAAAAGCAGCCCACTCCTCAAACAGTCTGGAACCCACTCAATGTTCGCCCTCAACAGACGCGTAAGAGAGATCAACTATTTCAGAGTGAGGAACTGGAGGCAAATTTGCTTTCGATACACCCGAAGAGACAAAGGAAAAAGAGGCTGCCAGTAACAAGTTGTCTCGTGTGCAACTGGCTAAGGAGACTACTTTCACTTTTGAAAGCAATAAGTTTGCTTAGGATGACAATTTTTCTTCCTTTTTAAAGTGCAAACAATGATGCCAGGCTACACCCTTCCTTTCTAGCTAGATGGTTTAATAAGGCCAGGAGGGTTTCTTCAATGAATCACCATTTTAAGAAACATAGAAGACCCTGGTTCTGATATGGAAACATGAGATACAGATTTTTAAAGATCAGACGTCTGTCATTTCTTTAATATAAATGAACTATACGCTGCACAAGGCTTCCCGTATGCCGGCCAACTTTAACACTTTTATTCTCAAAGCTATGTTTTGCTCTTGAGAAAACAGCCTGCAATTAGATCAGGAAGCTACGAATTAAGTGGGGGTACAGAGAGGCTTGGGAAAGAACTGACAATTAAATCACTTGGACCCTGCGAGAAAAGAGATAAGCAATATGCGAAGAGTCAGGGTGTCCTCCGGAACCTTGACCGTGTAACAATGGGATGCTTGTTCCAGGAAAAGTACAAGAGAGCCTGGAGCCCCTGCAAGGTTGTCTACAACCATCAAACACAAGAAACCAAGTTCGGCTGCCACAGAAAGACCTTTTTGCCTTACTGCAGGGTATAGATTTACTCAGAGGGAACATCTGAACAGCCTAGCAAGCCCCCACATCTCAGCCTAAGAGAGGCCAGCTTTTCTCCACGCAGGCTCTCCACGTCTACTGATTTCCACCTTTCCCTCTTGCTTCCTTCAGAACAACAAACAACCAAGGAGAACACGATTTTATATCGTCTTTGCCAAGGTGAAGTTTGGAAAGAAAAAAGTATTAATCTACATTATCTACTTCTTGCTCTCAACTTTTCCTAGGATCAATCTCTTTCTTCTCCCTCTCTCTCTCTCTCTCTCTCTCTCTCACACACACACACACACACACACACACACACACACACACACTGCTGCTTGGTCCAATCTGGTGCCTGCTTAAAAACAACAGAATGACAAGCAACAACTGCTTGTAAAGGAGCCAAAATCAAACCTTAACGTTTTTTGGCCAGGTTTTTTTTTTTTCTTTTTTTCCCCTGACTCTCAGAGGGGAGGGGGCAAGAAGGAGAAATACTAAGATTTACATTCGGCATCAGCTCCAGTGAAGCAGGAACTCTACTCCCCCAGAGTTACTTCAGAGGAAAGCACTGTGAGGTAAAATCACTGCAGTATTTCTGGTTGTCTCCCCTGAAGCAAGCCCGATTGCATAAAAGCCAACATACCAGATTCCTAAAAGTCAGGGCTTTTTTTTCTAATAGCTTTATATTCTAATTATATTATATTCTAATTAGAATTACAGGACCCTGTGTGTATGTGTGTGTATGTACGTGTATGTGGGGGGGGGGCAAGAGGTGAGAGACGCAAAAGGAGAAGAACAAGACAAAAAAATGACAAAAGATACGTGGACAGGAAGGGAGCTGTGGCTTCTCCCCACTTTGCAACACACGGGCGTATAAACAGGCACGTTCACCCATATGCCACACACAGGATCGCACTCTGGAAACCGGGAGGCCGTGGCAGAAACTTGCACAGCTGTGGCCATCAGAAACAGGCTCTGTCATTCCCCCGCGGAGATGCGAATTTCTGGAAAGCGACCAACAGTCCACAAAGTCACAATGCAAAAGAGCAGAGCCACCTCAGGGAGGGAGGGGCCCCGGGGTGGGACGGAGCCGGGAAGGGAGACAAGGGTTTGCTACCAACTGAAACACTTTGGCCCTCCTAGAAGAGACATCGAGGACTGTTAGACGCCCGACTCCCGTGTCGCTCGGGGTTTGGAAGAAACCCACACACATTAAGGGAAAAATAAATTCAGACAAGTTGCTAAGGAGACTTGTGTAAACTCCAAGCACAGACATATTTCTTGGCCTTTCCCCCTCTGCTCCATCTTGTATTCTGATCACACGGCTCTGCGGTAACAGTACCCCAACCTCCTGCATTAATCTTGGCCTTCGCCACGCAGACTGGCAAAGCACGCTGGTTGTATATATCATCATCTTTCAAACTTAACAAGTTAAAAGGGTGTGTGTGTGCACGTGTGTGTGTTGGAGGGAGAGAGTGGGGGAACTTAATTTGGAATTTTTTAAACATAGGTGTTGAACAAAGAAGGATACTTAGACTGCGTGTTTGGGGGGCAGTGAGGAAAGGTAAGACACCTAGCGCTGGAAATTTCTCTTCGCCTGTGTGTGACACCCTTTCTCCGTGCCCTCAGTCTGCCCCCGCCCCCACCCCCACCTCCAGTTAGAATCCTGTATTCCCGGCAGAGGTAAGCCGTGCCTGAATCGTTACAGAGGCCGGTGTAGGGGCCCAGGCTTATGCAGAGCACAGTGCATTCCACAAAGTGGAACGCTGTTTCCGGCTCCGCTGCTCAGGAGGGTGTCCCAGAGAGATCAGCTTTTGAGAACAAACTGGAACGATTCCGAAAACTTCTAAACCAAACCTGTTTAGATTCTAAACCAGTCAGCATTTCGGAGGAGGGACCCCAGCCCAATATCCATGCTCCAGAGCAGAGGCCTTCTCCCATAGTGACACATCTTTTGCAGCAGCTGATATATGTCAACATTTGATTTAGGGGAAAATTAACATTTCCTTTCAGGACAGAGATGTTTGTACTGTAGAAGCCAATATTTTCCTTTCTCAGCCTCCTGTATTAGAATTTCTAAAATCTTCCCTAGGATATGGAGAGGGTAGACAATACATAGCCTCAATCATTACTCAGGGTGCTGGGGCAAACCAAAGTCAGGTCTGAGTGTGCGTGTGCGTGTGCGTGCGTGTGCGCGCTTGTATGTTTTTGTGTGCATGTGTGTGTTTGTGTATGTATGCATGGGTCCCTGTGTCACTGTCATGGGCAGATTAGTAAGACACACACCAAGAGAGCTGGAGGACGAGCATCTGTTTGGTCTCTTCCCAAATTAGAGAAGTTCACAACGTCTGTCCACCAGCCACAAAAGAAAAACTCCAGTGAGGGGCAACCGACCAAACCTGCTGCTATTTTACCTCAATTCTCAGGGTGGACAAGGGACGAGCAAGGGGATGGGAAAAGCATCTGCATTCCGTGCATAGGGCTGGGTGTGTCCCTTCGGCGGGCTCCAAGAAGGCTATGCAGCTCCCTCTCTCCTCCTTGCCAACCTTTATTTGGTCTTCACACTTCAAAGCTACAGCAAGCTGTTCTGCCTCAGTTGAAATCAGGCAGCCAGGCAACTCTTAAACTGGCAAGATGGAGATTTCGCTCCTGCCACTCGCGGAGAAAAACATAACCCGGCAACCAGCCCTGCTTGCCCGCCCTTTCCAGACACCTCTATGAAACCGAAGCCCGGATTTTGGGGAAGAGGGGATCATTGGAGTTCTTTATGACCTTTTCCCTACCAGGCCTATCCTCTGGTGTTTGTGGCATGAAGCCATCATGACTCAATCAAAATGAAAAATGAACCTGGAGGGAGGAGAGCCTGGTGGGCCTATCCCAGCAGGCAACTGGGCAATTACCCTGTGACCTGGCTGGCCTGGGGGCAGTAGAATGACACCTCCATTTTTTTCATTTGCTTAGGAAGCCCAGGAAATCCTGCTCGTCGCCTGCTGG